GCCTTGCGATGCTAGCATGGGTGCGCTAGCACGCACCAGCCAGCCTAGGCTCGGCTTGGTGCACATGCTAGCCACCATGCTAGGCCATACGCCTTTAGCACTCGAATTGCTTGGGCATTCCAATGCTAGGGGAATTTTGGTCTTTTGTTGATTTATTACTATTTCTCGTCTCATCTTTCACTATTTTTCGACTCGACTTCCGACACTCGGTTTCGACGCTCTAAGCTCGAATTTCCGACGTCTAAATAAATATTACTCGGTCGACTCATTAATTCCTTCCGAATTAATTCGTCGGTTCGGTTTGTTGAATGCTTGGGTGTGACCCGAAGGGTTCAGTTAAGATTAAGCTGTAATATTAATTATTCATTAATATTACTGATCGGAAGCGGCCTCCACCCAGGCATTCCGATCACTTGACCTCACTGAATATATTAGCTTTCTAATAATTCTGAACCCACTAACGGAATAGTACACTTGTTCGAAGGACACCATTCCTTTCAAGTATCACATGTAATTTAAGTCAAGAAATTGTAAGCTATATATGTGAACCTAGATATTATGTGAGCTAAGAAGATTCATATTCTCCAAAGTTTTTGGCAATTAAATTTTTAACTGATGGCGTAAAAATGCATAAAGGAACTCAGCCCATGCAGTTAAGATGGAAAGTATTCTATAAGTTGGTTAATGTTGTAGGATTCATCTTTTAAGAAACAAATAGTTGGTACTCAAAATTATAAGCAAGGAGGAGGCCCTAAGAAGAAAATACCTAGGGCTAAGCAAAACTACCTAAAAAACCGATCCGTAACCGTTCCAAAAATTAGGGTATCCGATCTGATAACCATAACGGTTTGGGTACCCGTTCTAATAATTTGTTATCGGGTATGGTTATTGGGTATCATTTTAAAATTAATGGTTACCTGATCCGTTTAGATAAGCATATTTTTTTGCTTTTTTTCCCTACTAAAATCTTTTTTTTTTAATCTAAACTCTTACTTTACTTTATAATATCAATGATTAGTAATATTATTAATAATTTTGTCAAAGTCATATGATATTATTGTTAATTAGTGGTAAATTATATCATAATAACTACATAATTAAGTTTAATTATCATTATATTAAGGATATCTTACTGGGTACCCGATAACCGACCCGAAAATCTGGCTAGCCAAAGTCCGGGTACCCGAACTTATCGATTTGGGTTATGGATACCACTTTTAGGGATTTTGGTTATCGGGTACCCAAACCATTAGTACTAACGGTACAGGTACCCGTCCCATGTTCACCCCTAAAAATACCTCCATAAAAGTAAATCCTAATGAAACTGAAATTGAGAAAACTTGAGGAATTCATCATGAACCCTGCAGTTAAATTAGTAATAGGAAAAGTAAGTTATTAATTGATGAATCCGAATTACATTATCATGGGATAACAAAAAAACCCTATGATGTAGAAAATCCTAAGTCTTAGATCACCAAGTCCGAGTAGCTAGACAAAATTCTAGCATAATGAGAATGAAAATATAAGGCAATAAAAATTTAAAAGAATATAAATATCGAAGAGCTTCATGTTCTAATTGAGAAATAAATGGAGATCCAAATAATCATATTATTGAAAAAATAAAGGTAATTGGATATAAGATCAAAAGTGTGAGTGAACCAGTATATGAAGATGAAGTGAATATGCAAGAGAAAGCTTATAATAAAAAAATCTAGTACTAATCCTAATAGAAGCTATATACTAGTTGATATATGAAAGAATTATACACTACTAGAAAAATATTTATTTGGTGCTTTTTTTTTTGCTACGTTTTGGACAAATCGGTGCAAATTAAAACGAGTTTTAAGTGTACATATATAAATAAAAAATAGTGATTTGTAGGGGTTTTTCAATAAATTCGTTGCAAATGAATAATATCCTCCCTACCCTAAACCCTCAATTCCTTACCCGCCTAATTCATTTCACTCTCCCTCCCTTTTCCAACTTCATCAGGTTCAAAAATACTCTCACCCGGCCCAACCATCATCGGCCAACGTTGAATCAGTCACTCTTCGAAATGTACTAGCCTTTTTCACCGTCGAATAAGTCACTCTTCAAAATCGTCATCTCCGTTTTCACCAACACTCGCCCAAATTGATTTTTCCTCAAGTATAGTTCGGCTATGACGTTTGTGATGAAGTTGCTATCTTCGGTTGATGGAATTAGTGTCTGTGGTTGATGAAGATGGACTACTGCCAAAAACTCCCTTTGGCTCTCTCTATCTCTCGTCTACTCAATTTTTGCTCACCAAATCCCTAATTTTTGCTCTAATTTGAGGTTAATTCTGTCGCTTGGCTACTACGCCAAGGGAAACTACAAAAGCTAAGAAGAAAGCTTAAAAGAAACGACATGCTTGTTATTGATTGATTTGCTGATGTCTTCCTTTGATCCTTGAACTTCTATTTACAGATGAAATGGAGCGGTTATGGCTGACTCCCATAACTGTTGTGCAATTACGTCTCTTAGCTCCAACACTTCTTCAAAAATTAAAAAACATCCACTTGCCTCCTAAACCAGCATTTGTTTATTGGGCCTCTAAGTGATATTAGCAATTCCTTTTATATCTCGACTAGTTCAGCCTAAAAACCTTTTTCTAATTCTGAGACCCTTTTTACTCGGTCAAAGTCAAGACGGTCAAATAATAAAAAGTTAAAAATCCGATTTTTTGGTGTACCGGTTTCAATACCCTTGAAGCTTTTAGATGTAAGTTCCATCTTCAAGATTTTTCTTATACCATTCAACATTCTGATGGTGCATTTAAATAAAACCTACACTAGAATTGAAATTTATTATAATCCTTGTTTTTCTAGTGTTTTCATGATATGCTTCTTGCAAGGGCAATGTATAATGTATTTATTATGTTTGGTAAAAATTGCATAAGCTTATATGCCTATTTATTACTTACATGTGGTTATGTTTGAAATTTGATAAATTAGTTGCAACGTTGTAACATATTACTTTTGCAAAATTATTGTGTCTGTAGTGGTTGGTCTTTAGAAATGGATCCTTAATGACCCCAAAATCTTTAACAGATTGATTTTTCACACGCAAATCGATACAAAAATATTATTATTTGGAGAGTGGGCCCCAGTAACGGAATTTGTTAACGGCGGGATAACAACAAGGTTACCATATAAAAATTAAATGTATTATGGGGTTATAGTGTGGATTTGTTAAAAAGAAGGGGGCATATCGTAGAAAACGGAAGGTTTTTTTTTTTTTTTGAACAATAGCAAAGGCAAACACACACACACAAAAAAATAAAAAAATAAAAAAATAAAAAAACAAAAACAACTAATCTACCAAGAAATTAGAAAGAGTCATACGACATTGTCTAGCAATGTCGTGTGCCTTTTGAACTTGATCTTTATGGGCCTTAATTATTGTGCACTTGTCTAAGGTAGCTCCTATCTCCTTAATCTCCTTTATCGTCCACGCAATCGAAACTTCTTTCCCATTTTCATCTTGGAGATTATTCAAGAGCATTATCGAGACAGTTAGAATGAGAACCCCTTGCTTTTCCTTTGCCTTGGCCCATAGAAGAGCTTCGATGCACGCCCATGCTTCACAATGGAGAGTTGAAGAAGCAGCTCCATACTTTCCACCCCCCACAAAAAAATTTAAAAGCTCCCTACCAACATTCGCCCACCCAATACCAGCCCTCATGGTATTTTTGTCCCAGACCCCATCTACTTGTATAGTGAATTCATCGAACCCTTCCTTTTGTTTGCCTAGTTGAACATAGTAAAAACAGAAAGTTAGAGGGTTATAATATATATATATATAAAAAAAAAACCCATTTTTTATTTTACTTTTCTCATCTGTCCTCTGCTTCTTTTCTATTTCTTTTGTTGATTGTTATTTTTTAATTTTTTATATGTTAATGTGTTGTTATTTTGGTTGATTTTATGAAATGTTATATAATTTATTGACGTGGTTTATCTTATTTTGTGATTCAATCAATTTAAGAGGTGTTTGATGATTTTTGCATTTTAAGTTTTAACTTTTAAATTTCTGGTTTGTGATCTAACGCTAAGCACAAGTGCACAACAGAATGAAAATGAACTTTTTATTGCTCTATGACTTTATTGAAGAAGATAATGCATGTGAGTAGAATATTTTTATTAAGGTTTTTTTTTATCTTATTTAATTTGTGATTATATTGTTGTGTAAGTTGTCTTGTTATTTTATTTTTATAAACTACAATAATAATTATTTGTGTTGTGGTTTTGTATGTTGTGTTAATATCAGTGTTTTGCTATTATACTTCATAGTTTTCTAGAAAATTTTTATGTTTATAATTATGTAATTTTTTGTTAATAGAATCTTATCAAAAAATAATAAAAAATTAAATAAAATAAAAACGTAACATTTTTTTTTACACAAAAAAAGGTAACTTATTGGACAAGTTACCTGTCATTAGACCTGATTAAAGATTATACCAAAAAAAAGTTGACTTATTTTGTTCAAACTGCGCGAAGGTTAACTTAATTGGACAAATTTTTCAAAAAAACAAAAAGACTTCATCCGAAAAATAATTTAGATAAAATTATAATCTAAACATGTTATTCACAGCTACAACATCATTGTACATTATTCTTACCTAAGGCCCTGTTCTGATACGATTATTTTCAATTCACTTCTAATAAATTCAGTTCAGTTCATTTTCTAATTTCCTTCTCTTATAAAATATTCAGCTGAACTCTAATTAGTTTACGTCAGTTCAATTCAGCTCTAATAAGTTTAATTCAGTTCAGCTCAGTTCAGCGAATGAGAACAGGCCCTAAAGCCCTGTTCTGTTCACCTTATTTCCACTTATTTCAAGGTTAATAAGTTCAGATAAAAATTAATAACTTCAGATAAGATAAGTTCAAGAAAAATAACTTCAGATAAGTCGTGATAAGGGTTAATTAGGGCTATCAAATTTAATTTATAATTAAAATAAGTTCTAATAAGGGCTAATAAGTTCAGATAAGATCAGATAAGTTCTAAAAATCAAGTGAATAGAACACACCCTAAAGTAGAACTATAGGGCATTATGACCCCTCTTTATGTATTCATTATCCCCTATTTCTATAGAGGCTTTTCTCCTCAAGCTTAATACTACCTGTACAAGAATATGTTTTTTAACACAGAACACTAACTTATATTACTGGCTTAAAGCCTTATATATTACAACAAAAGCCAATATCGGTCCAGCCCAAACTTCATCAGTCCAAAATACAAAGCTGGGAAAGGAGTATTGGTGGTGAGAACTAGTACAAATCCAAACAGTTCACTCTTCCAGCTTCACTTGCACGTCCTGTAAATCTTGATATTCCATAAGCCTTTTCGGAAGATTCTTGGCCACGATATTCCCGCCATTATATCCATTCATAAGCTGCCTTCCTATCTTCATCCTCCACTCTGAGCTATCCAACTCTTGCTTCCGATCATGAACCACTCTATCACAATAATTCAGCATTGTTCCCAAACCGGTATTTGGAGTCCACCCATATTCAGCCAATACTTGTGCTTCCCCTTCGCTCAAGTCTTCTCCAACCTTTGACCAGATCATGCACAGGAGAAAAGTGACAATATTTTAAAAGCATCAGAACTTATTAAGACATCCTAAACACTAAGGCAAATAGGTAATTAAAGAACCCCAAAATTTATTAGACAATTGAAGAAAACTAGTATGTACGACCCTGGACACTTGTCGCTTGTCACCTTTACTAGAGATCATGCTTTCACCTAAACTAAATATGAGATTGAATGAAGAGAACTGATATTTAACAAACACAAACCAGGAGAAAGCAGAGTCAAGAAGACCAGTAAACAAAATGCAACAAGCAACTATAGTTATCATGGGCTGGGTTGCACTCAAAAAGGCCTATAACATCAGACTAAGGACATTAGACTATGCCATAATGAACCTGAGTTTAAAATGTTCTAAAAGACCAATTGATACCAAGTCACCCCAAAAAACATGGTCAGACCTATTGAGCAGAGCTGGACCTGATGAGCTCTAGCAACATGTATTCAAATTGTCACAAAGATGTGTTTGTGTAAGAGCAAACACAAACACTAATTCCAAATTAGGTATCTTCAGACTCACATTGAAAAAAAAAAAAAAATAGGATATCAAAAACAAAAATAATCAGACAAAAAGACAAAAATAAAAAATAATCATAGGCAACCTAAGCATATATTTACGAGAATCAAAAGGCAAAAAGAAGTAAAGTAGGAACAACAAGTCGAAGCAAAAAAATAAGGTCCAGCTCGGGCAGAGGCTGAAGAAAGTCTAGTACGGCTATGGTAAAAGGAATCCATGGACAGAATATGCAATACAAGAATTAGCATTACTGAAAGAAAATTTTATCACCTACTCCTTCCATCCCTAAATGATCTTTGTTCCCGTTTGCTAAATTTTACGGGAATCAAGAAATAGGAGTATAGGAGGAGATAATACATAAAATACATTAAAAAGATTAAAAAGTACAAGAAATGTGAGTGGGTCACATAATAAGTACATGAAAAAAGAATAAAGTACATGCATATGGGTGGAGGCAATTTAGAGGAAATGTAAGGGTACTATAGGTACATGAGTGAAGAAAAACAAAATGAGGATAATTTGGTATTTAAGTGTCCGAAAATGAGAAACTATGAAATGGGAACAACAATTTGGGACGCCTACAAAGGAAAACGGGAAGATCATTAAAGGACGGAGGGAGTACCTTTTATATATCAACTTTTTGATAAGAGCTGCCTTACCAAATATAGTTCGTAAACAACATTTCTTTAAGACATTTATGTGCAAGTAGCCCTACAAATTTCCTTACCTGAATTGATTAATTGACTAAAAAAAAAGAGAATTATAAAAACCAAATTAACTTGTTTTTTAGTCTAAAAATAGCAATCCCTTTACACTTTGTTTGGATATCAACGTAGAAAAGTAAGGAAGGGGAAGAAAATTCCCTCTAAAAATCTCTCTAATATTGGAGGCATGATGTTTATTAAAACCATCCTTACCAAACAAGGGAGTTCATTCCCATCCCTTTCCTTCCCTCCCTGTCTCCCCATTTACTCGTTTAAAACAAAGTGTTCAATAAGCTTTTTTTTTTTTTTTCCCAACTCATAAACAAGGATGACAACAAATTGGGCAGCCATCTAATCCCAAAGAACAAAAAAGGAAAGTACAAGTCAATCTAACACAAGTAACATGTGAGGAGATAAAACTAGTTTGGCTATGAAACATAGAGATTCTCCTAAGTATTCACAAAATGCTTTAAGTCTTTAATCCACTTTAGCCTTTCACATAAAAACCAAAATAAAGGCCAAGAAAATTGTGTAGGTGGCAGTAAAAAGAATTCATCCTGCCCCAGCTCCCATCCATGAAAATTCCACCTATGTATATTCCCAGGTCAAATATGCCCCATTCCCAGCAAGAGAAAGGAATTCGGTGTGTAACATGAGATAGAGTGCAACAAAAGGGCAGTAAAAAGTCCCAAGGGGACATTCCTCCGAACCATTCCTTTAGCCAAGAATACTCCACCTAAAAAAAATCACCATTTGTACCTTTTATTCTATGTTAATCCAACTCTTCATCGTACATCAAGTGCCTGTGTTAGATTCTATGCATATGAAACTTTGGAACCTGCATTTTAGAATTAATGCAATTTATTTTAATAATGGCTCCCTCTAACCAATTGACACAAAATTATAAAACAGTCCCTAGTGACCTCCCCCCGAACCATTCCTCGGAATAGCTTATGTGCTCCTGTATGTTCAAATCATATTATGTCAGATCAGACCACACCAAAACTTAATCTTACTCTTTCCTTCAACTAGCACACACATGCTCAACACAAGGTAACCTCTGTAAACCCCCTTACTCTTGACCACAAAAAGTCTCTTATAATCTGACCTTTCAAGTACCACTAGAAACTTAAAGGGGATACAAAGCACTGTGCAATCACAAGTCCAAATATGTGTCATATTGTAAAACACCTTCCTTTTGGAAGATAGCCCTTCTTCTGCCACCCAATTTCCTAGAGACATTTGAACAACTTAACCAATATAGCTATTCCTCTCAAGAAGTCAAGATCATTCCTTAAATTAAGTCCAAGCAAGGTAAATCATGGACAAAGCATCACCCAAGGATATATCCAAGACATAGGACTCCATATATAGATACTTGACACTAAAATTTGGTCCTTCCCACATTGTTTATGGTCAAAGTACGAGCATCTTTTTGTTATAAAAGTGGTGCTACCAATGTACTATGATTCATGATAACCCATTTACACATCATATAAGCAACAAAGGCAAAGGAAAGGATGCACTCTTGACTCCATCATTTCAGTAATGATGATCTATCCTAGCATATTTATGGTACTATTCAATAATTACCCAAAATGTACAAACAAACAAAAAATGTTCCCTGTTTAACGTTATTCACAAGGAGATGCAGTGATGCACCTTTCATGCCTACATAACTACATTTATACAGGATGACCATATTCTACTTAGCGCCAAGTTATAGTCAAAGTAGATTACCACTAATGGTCTATCCTCTATTAGGGTGATCCGGCCACAGCCTGTAAGCCTCATCGCAGTCACCAAACGCTTGACCTGCCATGCCACAGGAACAGAATTCAGCAGCTCAAAGAAGTATGTCGCATAGCCATATTCAGGACGCTCCAGTACAATTCTGCATTCAACAACTTCTTTAAATAAACATAATACACAAGATACTGAAACAATTAACTGCCAGCAATTTACACCTGTTATGTCTTTGGAAGACAAATAAAAAAGACTGAAGGTCTCGACACCAACCCCATTCAACAGGCCACTTCCTATTTCGCATATATTTTGTCTGCAATGCAGCTCAATAACCAAGAACAATAACAGGTGAGTAGTAAGTTACAAGTATCAGCTCAAACCATTTAAACAATCAAGATTTGAATTATAGAATTTCAACATTTTCCAAGTCATTACAGTACTAGTAACTTACCTGCTCCACAAGTGAGAGGAGACAAGACAAACAGTAGCTAATTTTCTCACCCTTTGTGCGTAAAAGAGGATACTTGAGAAAAGTTTGACGATGTGAAAACAGCTGCATTAAAGATACCAAACAGAAACAAAAGAATATCAATACCTTAGGGCCTTCATCATATGAAGCTCAGTCTAAAATACAAATATCAGACTCGAGCTAAGACACAAGAGTCTTATAAATAAAAAATTCAAGTCAGGGATACTGAAACATGGTCAACAAATTTAGGATATTGACGCAGGAGGCATGTCCAATTAAAGGCAAGATATTTTTTCTTAATATTCCCAATTTTTTAATAGGATTTAAAAGTCAGAGGTTTTTCAAGAAAAATGACCAACAGAATAATACTCCATTACTCCCTCCTCTGTCCCTTAAAAATTGCCCTATTTGCCTTTTCAGGCCGCCCTTAAAAATTGCCTTTCAGGGATACAGAGACAAAGATACGAGCATCACATCGATAAATTTCAAGTCAGGGATACTGAGACATGGTCAACAAATTAAAACCTTATCCAGTTATCTTTTACTTCATATTATGTAGCAGCCACAATCAAAATCTAAGGATTATGATCACAAGGAAATTGACAGTCACACCATTAGCCACATGTATTCAAAACTAGTTGCATGGAGCATGAATATTGAAGGTAACTTTAATGGTATACACCATATCACAGAAAAGCAGCAGCTTACAGATATTATTAAGTAAAAAATAATTCAAGAAAAGCTCAATTGCAGACAGCATAGATAGTCCTCAATTGGACAAAATGTAGAGGGAGAATACTTTAAAATAAAAGGAGCTAGATTAACATGAAAGGCATGAAACAAACCGGCTTAGTAGTTAAATTCTAAAAGAAAGTGGGTAAACAAACCAACACAAAGATCAGAAGGGAATATACAGAATCACAGCAATAGCACGTTATACAATTTTGGACACTATGCTCATATCTGAACTTTGGTAACAAGGAAATAGTTCATATTTCCAATAAATGGAAACAACTTCAAAGTCCAATAAACTCAAAGTCTAATAAACTCAAATACTGAATATTTACAGAATGAAAGTATTTTTGAAATAAACCTCTCTCTCTCTCTCTCTCTCTCTCTCTCTCTCTATAGGCTACAGTGACTTAAAAATATGGCCAGGTTATGTTGCTTCTAAAAATGAACACTTTACTGCTGAGAAGAATGTCCAACATTGGGTCTGTTAACCCTTCTGTATCCTATTTTAGATTGGGCCAAAATAAAAGCATACACCCATGTGAAGTTGCATCCATGTATCATATCATACTTTCTAAGCAAATGTGTGGCATACCAACCACAAATAGCAGGATAACGACCATTATGCAGACTGGAACAAAACTTAGACACGTTTATTTGTTAAAAAAAATAAAAAAAATAAAAAAAATAAAAAAAAAAATTAACAGGCAGGTCATAAACAATTGGAGTACTGGTAAAAGTAATACAATGTAATACTAGCAGCTGCACTATCACAATTATACCAAATCAGCCTTAAACTGCTAGTCACTTTAATTTCAATTACAAGCTGCTTCAAGACCTAAATATATAAGCATAAACACAAATAAATAAATAAATAAATAAATAAATAAATAGAGAGAGAGAGAGAGAGCGCAATTCAACTCCAAGCTTCTCCAAGACTCAACCATATAAGCATAAACAAAAATGAGAGAGAGAGAGAGAGAGAGTTCTACTTAATCAATAACTTGGCAGCAGTGTGCTGAATATATTGCACACTATGAGCTATACCCTCACAAAAGGGAGCATCTGTATGCAATAGCTTTAAGAGAAAGCACATAGATATCAATGCATTGATAAATAAAATTAATAACCTGTGATATTACAGCTTCAAGCTCAGCAAAGCCATCTAAATTGAGAGAATCATCAAGAATATCATCAGTATCTTCTTCCCCATACAGCTTAATTTCTTCAGCTGATACTCCTTTGTCAAGCAAAACCTAGCAATTTAAAAGTAGTATTAAAATTTATTCTTAACCTTTGTCCATGGTTCATGTGTAGCTCTGTGATGCAGAGAAATCTGGTAATTGGATAATTGCATTTACTACCTTCAAAAGACCAGGAGCATCTTCTTCCAATGCAGTTTCAACTGAATCACTGAACAGCAATTTAAGTATATAAGAAACCAACTATACATAAGATACTATGTACAACAGAAACTAGGCTGCATCAAAATATTACGTTACAGTTCTTCTCTTCTTCCTAGGCCGACTGATACTAACTGGTTTGACAGATTCTAAGACATCATTACCAAAATCCATAGCTGAGACCTCATCTTCCTTAGGGTTTCCAGGCATACTCGTGCTCGGTATTCCACATGAAAGCAACTTGACACGATCTACAAGCGGCATGTGGTGTAACTCATCCACAAGAATGTCAGAAAACCCTGGCTCATTTTTCACAGTTAAAGTCTGACCGATGCAAGAGTTCTTTGTGATATTCCTCCTTCATAGCATAACCCGTTTATATCAAGAGGCTCATCCTTGACTTTTGCAAGCGGTGGTACAACTGCGAAGGCACAAGCATCCATCATAGCAGTTTCCTGGGTACCAAAAAATTTACATTCTGTAAATAAAGGGAATGATCTGGAATTTATTGATACTGCAGCAGATCCAGATGAAGTTAGTGAACAGATTTTAGCTGTATAGGATGTTCCATCAGTTGCATATTCTGATGACAAATTATCACTATCATTTACTCCAAGAGATACATCTCTACCAATCGGTGCATCCCAAGCAGAATCACTTTGTGCAATTTGCAACACACCTTTGGATAAGTTGGACAGCCCTTGATAATTCTTCTCCTGAAAAAAAAAGTGTATAGAGTCCAGAAAATATACAATGTCAGCAGATCTAAAAATGACTTCAAATTGCATATAGTAACGACATGCACTGCAAATCTTAACAATTAAACAACGATCTGAATAAATCATTATAGGGGGCGAGTGCTCAAAAGTCGACGACCAACCATGGGTGGCATAGTCTTGGAAGTAAGGATGGCCAGGGGACCTTGGCACATAAGGGAATGTCTTGGGTGGACATCGGCTAGGACTCAAGTGAGCCCCAGGCCTCACGGCATAACTTAGTAAAATCCGATAATGCTAAACATGGTGAGGGTGCATGTGCAAGGCTTGTGAGCAGCAATATCCATGATAACCGTTTTAGTGGAGATCATGGGAGGTAGTTACCTTGATAAGTAACTGCCTAGTGGTTGACATGGTACCCAAGGTCGTGGGCTACATGGGCAGTTACCTCGAATACCTCATTATGGGGATCATGGGGTAGTTTAGACAGTTACCATAGCCTCAGGAAGGGCGGTAGTTGCCAAGTAACAATAACCACAAGGCCCTTAGTGGATATGGTGCAAGCGATTTTTCCTTGAATTTAAGAGGGGCAGGTAGTGGGATTGTGGGCAGTTATGATAACCACCAATGTTTCCCCACTCCTCTAAATATGAAGTGCAGTTATGCACAAGGGGATCATGGCTCCTATAAAATAGAAGCATGGTACATAGTGGTGTGACCTCTGGTTTATTAACCTAAGGTTAACGCTGCATCCCAAGCAGTTACACCAATGAGATGTGCTTACTAGAAAGTAGGAGGGTTAGTGCCTTAGTGGGTGGTTATGCAAGAGAATGGACACTTGCGTGAAGCCAAGTAGCCAACTATGCATCCATACCCATCAATAGTTGCACAACTAGTACATGCCTCCGAAAACGTAGGGAACATGGTGAGAGTGGGAAGTTATAATTGACCAGTTATACAAAAAGAACATGAGAGCCACCCTCATATACTTGATAACACTGTTCTATATCTTGGGCCATGACATTGCCCTCTGCACAATAGATGCAAGTCCCAGCAAGATTATTCAAGGAAATGTTTGTTGTTCATGATTTTGTTCAAAAGGGAAGAAACACATTTTTTCCTAATTCAACAGATGCACTTAGTTAAATTAAAAAGCAAATAAAAGGAGCCTATTAGATTACGTTAGTACAAGATGTGGACACGAGACATAAGTTCTCTGGATTGTATTGCAGCTAACTATCAGGGTCAAGGTTAAACTGAAGCATGCTTTGCGGGAGACTAATATGTATACTTATCTCTCTGGATTATTGAAGATGATATGGTATGGTGGGCAGGTGGCTAATTGTTCTATTTATGAGCTTTCTGAACATTTAATACATTCTCTACACAATCATCATATTGATGGTCAAATATATATAATATGAAATCTTTGTTTATATAAAAGTGCAACTAGCTGCTGGAAATAATTAAAGTATATCAGACATTACAATTAAGGTGATGCCAACACGCCCTAATTAGAAAGATTTGGTAGTTGAACTAACTGCTAAGTGAAAAAAATGTGAATTCATTTCAATCATTCAATTAATTAGGATAATTTCTTACCTAATCATTAGTAAAAGTGTTGTAATGATAAGAATTTGAACTCCTTACGACAATTTTCACAGCTATGTATTATGAAACTCTATATGACTTATATCAGCTTTATTTAGCAACTCTCTTGGTTTTACCCGTACTCTTCAAGTAGCAGCTTTACAAATAAAATTTTATTATTTTATTTTCATTTGGTTCATTTTAGGTGTTTCGGGTTGGGTCTATACATAGGTTCCAAATTGTAAGGTTTAAATATTGGGCTACTTTAGTTCATTAGTTGAATCTTTAGGCATTGTCTTTTTATATAAATAGGTTATTTGATTTTCTTGTTCTTGCTGTAGGAAATAAGATATTTTTTTGGGTCTTGTAAGCTTTTGACTGCTGTAGTTGACATGGCTAAGAAAAAAGCCTAGATTTGACAATTTAGTGTCCGAAATCCTTTTTTTTTTTTCTGTTATGGGACGTGAACTTATATATACTTCCAAACATAATTCCATTTGTCACTGAGTTTAAAGATCTACAGTATTTGAAAGAACTGTTGGATGCTCCATGGTGGTTCACACCTAGTTTAGCTTTGCCTTGGTCGGGGATAAACATCATACATTAGGAAATAGGAACAAGATTCACTTCTGGGATCTAGATAGGGAACCACTCAACCACCCCTAAATTTTTTTGTCTCATTCATCTTTTAATTACACATAGAAAACTCAAAATTGTACTAAAGATTAAAATAACTTGTGATGGAGCTTCCATTTAAGGAGACACCAAGATTAAAGGGTAAGGATGTGATAAATGTTATTGGTAATGTAACATGTAAAAAGCATGCCCTTTCGCTGAATTTCAAAATTCTTCTAGTCCTTCCTCATAACATTTTAGTATATACAGGTTCTTACTTTAATCCAATCTTAGGCCATGTTTGGTAATTAGTTGGTGTGGTTGTGTTGTATTAATGATTTGAATAGTTGATTATATTACTTGGTTTTGACTAATTGGTTTTAAATGGTTGGTTGTGTAAAAGTGTTTGGTAAATAATTATTACTAATTAATTGTTTCAATGTATGTATGTTATAGCTAAATTGTTAAATGTTCAATAAGCTAATTGATTTGAGCCTTTTCAAAACAGAGCTTTTTGAGACCAATGTTTTTTACCAACCACTCAAATTAGCTTCTTATTTGGTCAAACCTTTTATAGGCCTCAACAAAAAGTTCTTTAAAAAATATCTTTCCCAAATAACGCATTAGTCGAGAACGAAAAGTGAGATCTCAAAGGTGAAGCCTCCAATATGAAAGGCTTGCTTAGCAAGGCTCAATACTATGATAAGATTTCCACAAGCTTACCCCTAGTATTCTTTCCTTTGTTGTCTCAAACAAGAGATTATACCTAATCAATTTTTGGCGATACATACATGATTGGAAATCATTTTTTTCATATTTTACCTTAATATAGATAAATTTTTAGCCTTAAAAGGATGTATGATCATCACAACAACAACAAGGTCAACTAACATGAATCGTCATAAAGAACAATCCACAAAGAGAAAATATAGCATTACAAGACAATTGATTGAATAAAAGAAGTATGGCTTCCGCCCTGGATGAAAAAGAAAAGTTTCAATAAGTCTACAACAGTCAAAGTAAAACTTAGTCACACCTTATAGACATGAATCAAAGATTCGGTTAATTTGACTAAATAAAAAAACAATTAAAAAAAAAAATAGAAATGACAACATTCCTCTCACACAAATAGGCCTCATGCATGAGTATTAAGTATCCAACGTGGGAGCTTGAGTTAAATTTAAGAGTTAGGCTAGCATTACACAACAACCCAATACAAACTCCACAACAACCCACTTAGCAACAAATTCATTTTTGGTTTTTTTATTGCTAAGAACGATGCTAATTTTTTTTCTATTTAGATTTGGAGTCACAAAGTAACACTATTTAAATTTTTTTTTACAAAAAAAAAAAAAAAAAAAAAAAAAAAAAAAAAAAAAAAAACCTGCAATTGTTTCTTGAAAGATCAGTTATGATATTAATTTTTCTTAGCGCATAACATATGAGTTCGGATATTCTTTCATCTAAGTTGTCGGGTGGTGGGACTCTCAATTAACTCTCTTTGTTACTTTTTCTTACAAAAACTCACCTAACAACACACTCTTACTTATGATTAGACATACTATACCACAACCTACTTTCAAAAACTATATCTCCTTACTTAGTCTTTGTTGTTATAATAAGTGTAACAATCATATAGATACAGAAGCCATAAAACTTAATTTAGGAAAGTATACAGAACTCGGTATTGCACAATTTCATATAACCAAGCTTTGTACAAACCTTAAAATGAAGCTATAGGCATAATTGATTTCATTTAAGGATAATTAACAAGTGCTACATGAATATTTCACTCTTAGGCACATAACCAACTCTAAAGTAACTAATTTGGCTTGAAAATAAATTGTCACAAACATATCAAGGGCAACAACAATTAAACTTGAATGACTAAATACTTTCACAAGACATAAAGAGTGGACGTCCAATGATCAAATGTTAGATTACATGTCCCAAGCGCATAATGTTTGTTATGCACTCCTGTCTTTTTTTTATTATGCCTATATGTTCTTTTTTTCCAAACTGTTCTTTTATTGAATATTGTATCCTTAATAAATCCATTGTTTTTATGAATAATTGAATGGGGATGAGACATGTTTATTTATTTTTATTTGTTAAAAGTAAAGAGAAACTAGGTTGGCAACATAAGACCAACATAATTCATCCTTTTGAACGATCGAAGAGAATAAATCATTAAAAGGAGTTATTTAATAAAAGCATGACTATTTACTATGCAGTATGTATTGTATGTTCTTTTACTCCAAATAGTATGTGCTTTCGGGCACTCACGGGTGAAGGATCTAAATAGCATCCAACGATGAAGATTATAATCCATATAATGTTCGCATAATGACAAAAATCTCATAAATCTGACAGTAAATACAATGCGTATGAACTGCACAATATGTGTTTTGCTGAGAAATTGTTAATCTTAGGCTTTCAACCGTACTACATTTTTAATCCTAAACAATTGTGTCATTTGGCTCTATAATGACTTGCTTAATACACTAATATCAAGAAACTTATAAAGCCATCTTTCATTAATTTAAATACTTCCTCCGTTTCTCAATTGATATATCTTCCTTTTTGGGATGTTTTGCAATAGATGCATCACTTCTCTTTTTAATAAGGTTTTATATGTGAAATGACAATCTTGTCCTCGGCTTGTAATCCAAATAAGTGGGGAGTAAACTCTCCACTTTTACTTTACATACCATAGGTAAACATGTAAATTACTCCACTCTCTCTCCTTATTGGTTTGAGTCATTTCTTTATGATGCATCAATTGAGAAACGGAGGATGTATAAGCTATATTACGATGATCTTCACAGGACATCAAGGTCCGAAAATAGTCACAACTATTTACATCTACATAAGATCAATGCTTTTCTAGAGTATCACCATAAATTGTCATGTGCCAAAATTAGTGTTACTTCTACAAAAGAAGGCAAATATCTAACAGCTATAGAGTACATATCTACAGATATTACACACCAATCAAACATAGCAAAGTATAAATATAACATATTATACAAGAATAGCAGAGTACAAATATTGTATATCATTCACAGAATAGCACAGAGACAACACCATTTAGCATTTTTCAATAGCAAGCTAAAAGGCTTTCTTCAATAGCAGTTTTCAATACCAACTAACAAAGTTTGAGACACCATACTTTAAAAAGAGTTTTAAACAAGGAACAAAATGCCGTGAATCAAGAATCATAAAACAATTACCTCCATATTTGATGTGGAAGACTGCATGACTTTCCTGTCATAAATTTACAGAAATTGGATTTTTTAGCAATTTAGCATACACATTGACCATGTAAAGCAAAGACAATGAAATAAGCACTTACAGACTTTGGTTATAGCCTTAGGAATATGAACTTCCATGGACTAGTGATTCAGAGCTAGGTTTTTGTAGGGAATTTAAATGGTGTATAGCCTAATTGATTGTTTATTATATTAGCAGTACTTGTTAGAATGTATACTTCAAAAAGCCTAATCATTTCAATCTGTGATCAGCATCAAAGATGTCACCTAAGACTATCCTCCACCATGGTGGCCAAGCAATATAAATGCCACACTCTTGCACTTTTCATTTGAAATGTCAGCAGGTAAAAAATTTGTCATTTACATCTAGCAGTTTAAAGCATTCAATGTATAACAAATGAGAAACACAAAAAAATAAATGGAGCAGTGAAAAGAAGAAACAAAATGTTTTAACATTAGCAATGAAGAATCTAGAAGGCTAACGACCCATGGTCAGGTGATGAGGAATCATATTTAGGCTATTTTTTCATATTCAAAGCTAATTAAAAGACTCAAAAGTCATTACACACCAGAGACCAAGCTTGACATATTATTTGAGACTTTATCACAAAAGGCTCAGACTAGACCAAGCCACTGTATAATTAGTTTAATGGCATTAAGATGCCTAATTGGGTCTATTTTTTATCAACCATGGTTAAGCTAACCTTAAACGCCTCGATCATCATCAACTCTCTTCCCCTTCAACTAACAATAACAGCCCCTCTTTCTCTATCCCAACACAGCAGACGCACCACGCTTGCAACGCCACTTGTCAAAAATTGCGGTCTTAAAACCAGTTTTTTTTTTTTTTTTTTTGAACAGTTTCGAATATATTTGGGAAAAATTACTAGCTCGAATTTTACAAAATCGATTTTTGGGTGCATAATTTCAATCAAATTAAACTTCTTTTAAGGTATCAAAATTATTCATCAAATAAATCAATATAGGTAAATATTTTGGCTTAGATTTTTGAGTGAAATCATTCACAATTGTTTAAATTCAACACGAATACAATATATAGAATAATAATTTAGCTATTCGAACAAAAACGAAAGCCAATTTTGGATCAATCTATAGTTAATTAAGTTTTTTAAGCAAAAATTTAAGAAAAAGCTTCTTTAATGACATATAACACAACCACCACTAATACAAGATCATTTTTTGAATTTCTGTAATTATCAAACTAGGTTGCAAAAACTAGGGGCTACCATTCCTTCACCCCATTTCTTTTCTTGCATTCACATTCTAAGATCTAAAATGATCCTGAGTAATAGTCGTTAAATAACAGCACATATAAATCATGATTGTGGCTGTGAGCGTAGTAACGAACTAACGGTTAAGCTAAAGTTGTATACCAAGTATAAATACATTCCTAACATCAGTATGTTGAAATGGCAATAACATGTGAAATTATGATTATCACTATGCATAACAACTTGAATGATGGAAAATTAGTGCTGTTATCCTAACAGAATGATATATAGCAGGCGTTTTTTTTAGGATAACACACAATTAACAGCGCAAAATAGTAAGTTGATAAGACTTTATATGATGAGATATATTCAAACCATGTTAAGGCACTTCCAAAAATTAAAAATACAAATAAAAAAAATATAAGATCCGTTGATCCTAGCCACAAGACAAAAAGAAAGAGATGCAAAATCTCCGTTGAGTATCCCGTCTTTTAAGCCTATTATCCTGGTTTGAGTGACAAAAGATTATTATTCGGTCATTTACATTTTACAAGATGTAATTTATTGCATAAATCATAAAAACAATGCGCACAATTTGTTTCCCCTTTCCACATAATCATGCACAACCTGAATAATGAATTTTAAGACATTTTCAAATTTTCAGATACTACAAATGAGCATAGGATAGTTGTATTCCTTTGGCACCACATTATCAAGAGCAATGTGCTAAACAATGATTAGGATGGCAATTAGGCTATACCTTCAGCACTTGGATATCCATGTAATTTTACCTTTCAAGTGGCTGCGTTATTTTCTAGTAGATCAACTTTAAAGATAAAAATGGTCAGGCTACCGATGTTTAGAAGGATGTTGGCAGACCAGTCTTTTAAAATCTATTTTTACTATCCCCATTAAAAAGTTGCGGCAATAAATTTTGTAAGATTTACAGTGATCAAAGAGAAGAACTAACTGTGGTGCACTTCCTTACTTACTAACAATTTTATAACTGGTTAGATAAAAAATCACTCATTTTCTTAGAGGCCACTTTTCAATGCATGTATAATGGTCACAAACATCTGATGAATGATTTTTGAAGAGTTTAACTATATAATGTCGATTCATTTATTCATTAACAAAGCATTGGTCAAGTAATACCTAGTGATTTGACAAACCACGAATAAAATGGTAATGGTTTAACTAAGCAATAGAGCATTGTAAGGTCCCAAGGATTGGAAAACATCACAAACTCCCAGCAAAACAAACTCATTAATCAACACAAGATAATAGTAGAACGAAAGTAGTACCTTGATCGTAGCAGTTTGCGTCGTTCTTTCAACGTAACATTGTCAAGAGCATCATCAAACTCATAGAACATCTTTCGCCGTCCTTTCAACATAACATTATCAAGAGCATCATCAAACTCGTTAAACACCTCATGCTTAACTTCAGTGGCTTGCACATTTGCACTGCTAGAGCCCATCAAGGGATCTTGTAAAATATCACCAGGCACATCCGATGTTGTTCGATGTCGAAATGCACTAACAGTTCCGTCCCAGCCAGGGCAGGAGGGGCGATCGCCCTGGACCAGAGAGAAATGATCCAACTTCATAATTTCAGTCTAATACTAAAGGATTCTGCAACACATTAGCAACCAAATCTGATTTAATTATCAAATTAAGCTCAAAAAATCACATATATTTAGGGAGAAAAAGGTCGAATTTTATAATTCCATCATAAAATTGAAGACAAGTTTGATTCAATCATCAAATTAAGCTGGAAAAATCACATAATTTTTAGGATAATAGGTCCAATTTCATAATTTGTATCCTAATATTTAAGGCAAATTTGATTCAATTATCGAATTAGGCTCGAAAAATCAAATAATTTTCTTATCTAGCAACAAAATCACTCGTTATGAACTTTCATAACCTTGTTATTATAACTAACAGTTCAATAATCGACTTAAGAAGAACCCTAAATGGAGTATAATGAGAACTAAATTAAACGACGAACCCAAAATTGTGAAAAAATAATATTCGATTATTACAAAAAGAAACACCTTACCTGAGAAGCAACTTCTATGGAGGATAGAAATATCAGAAGTCGCGACTCAATGGAGAACGTGGAGTGTGCTTCAATAAGAAACTGGGAAAGAGAAAGAGAAAGAGCGGGAGAAAGCGGAGCACTGAGCTATCAAAAGTTGACCGGACACGAAAAGTTTCCCCGAACCTGATTATAAACCGACCCGTTTGAACCCAGAAAAATGGTGATTCAAATCCGATATGACATGAAAATCAACCCTAGACTCATGTTAACCCGAGTAAGTGAGACTCGAACCTGAACATGATCAGGCCTGGAGATGATCCAACCGGAATATAACCTGTAAATTGTTTACCTGAACCGAACTCGACCTGAATTGAGATTGACCCAAACCTGTTTTAACCCGTCAAAATCCTAATTTAACCCGACATGTTACTGACCCGACCTAAATTCAACCTGATTTATTGCTAAACTGACCCGAATTTAACTTGACCAGTTCCTAATTCATTTCAAACTCAACCTGGCTATTGACCTGACTCAATTTCAATCACCTTAAAGTCAATTTAGACCACCTTATCCCTAAACCTATAAAAGCACCAAGTAACATTTTTCTATAACTCCTTATGAACAGTGTGTTGTCCATATTGCCCCTATATTTGAACTTGCATTTCCTTATAAATAGTGTGCTTCCCGAATTGCCCTCAAAAATTGTGCATGTGCAATGCCATGTGGTTTTTTTATTGCACTACCCAAATTGTTCCTGGATTTTATCTAGCTTTTCTTTATCAATAATGTGATTTCCGAAATACCCTTATACAATTGTGCATGTGGGGGCTTATGTGGTCCCTCGGTATTTTCCACGTAGCTTTGATTTACCACGTGTTGGAGTCACTTCTCTTCTTGCTGAGTTTGGCAATGGAGATCAAGCTTGATTTTATTTTAGGCGTGATTGCTGAGATGAGTTGGAGTCAATCTTCGATTAATTATTTTGCGAAATACCTAAATTTTATTTGGAGCTTCCTTCTGACCGCAATTCTGCTCTTTCCAGATACACGACGTAGATCTGCGTATTGGCGATTGATGTTTGCTCAGAAATTGCTGAACTGATTTGGAACTTATTCCTTGATTAATTTGTAGCTGACTTGCTGAGTATAATTGGGAGCTTATTGTGAGCGCGATTCTAGCACTCGCGGATACATGGAGTCCGGGCTAATTGGTACTTGAGCAGCTTCTTAGCCGTTCATTTTCAATTTAATTAATTGTTAATTTTGTTTAATTTTTTATTAATCATCAATTTTAAACTTAATTACCGCCTAATTACCATAGCATTCATTAATAGCGTTAGTAGGTGTTACTTTGCATGTGTCAGTTAGTAAAGTAGCAAGTAATAATATGATTGTTCACTGTTTAGCAAGGTCATTAGTTTTAAAAGGGATGGAGATTCCAAGTGATGATTGATTATTTTTTGATCTTGGAAAGTTGTGCCTTTTGTTATAACATTATGTATTTGTTCAGCTAATTACTTTGTATGAATAGCTTTGATTCAAGTTTTAGTCTTTTTTCAACAGATCATTCTTTGGACCGATGGATCTTGGATGGGCAAATGACTTGGGTTTTGATGCTGAGACAATGCATTACACACCGGTCTGTCTTTGTTTCAAATGGGTAAGACGATTACTCTTTTTTTAAAATATTGTGTGTTTTTGTGAAGTGGGCTTGGCTGCTTGTTTAGTGATAATGAACTCTGTAAGGTTGTCATTATAGCCGGCGCATGCTTACTGTTTTGTAAGATTTACTTGGTGTACTCAATTGCCTGCTGTGTTTTAGTTTAGCTTACTTTTGCTGGTTTTGTCTTCTACTGCTTTGTAGCCTAATAAATACAAGGGTGTTTATTTGGGTTTTTTCATATGCAACATACAAATCAAAGTCCGTGGAGGTTACATTAGAGGTAAAGCAGATTGTAATGTAGATTTCACTGGTATTAGTCAATAACATAACAATATGAAATTTCTCACTATGCAAACCAAAACATTTAATAACTTGCTTGGGAATACTGGTCTTAAATTATGTATATTGAAGAACAGTTCATTGACTTGCTATGCTGCCCTAGCTTTGTGGTTACAATTGCTGGACTTGCAATTCCTGACTTACAAATGTACTGCCTTTGTAATGATCATATTGGGATATTTATTGCCTAATTAACTTTGCTTTGCTTTACTAATAATAAGTTTGTGGACTCAAAATTTGATATCCGACCTTTGATAAGCTAACATGGGTTTGTTAAGCAATATTGTTAATTCTATGTTTGGTTACATTGGTTGTGCTTATGTTTAAATTAGTTGTTTTAGGTTCTTAGAGCATAGCAGTGTCAAAGTAATGGAATGCTTGTTTGTCTGGTCAAATGCTGATTTTTTTTTTGGGGGTTTCACCTTCTATCGTGCAGAGTTATGAGCTTGCAATGGTTGCAGATGAAGTTCCAGATGTAAGTGTATCTGAAGGCTCGCTATGTTCATTTGGTTTGGCTCATGTGTTGGTTTAGTTGATTTTTCATGCTATTTGCTATGTTCATTGCACACAGTTTTCCCTGTTTAAATAAGCTAGCTAAATTTCTTGTGTGGATTTGGTTGTTGCAGTAGTTGCTTGTTACATCTGTCATAATTTTATAATTGTATGCCACATGTGTAGCTAGCTAGGTAGAGTCATTCTATGTTCTGCCAAAATTGTTTGTTGTTCTTCTTTGCTGGATTATGTTGTATGTCTTTAATAGATTATTATTAGGTTAATATATATAAGATAGCTGATTTTGTTTTTAAAATGAAATACATGCTACTATATTAATATAATATTATGTTCTTAGATGCCTTTATGAATCGCTTATTTGTTTATGTGATTATGGTTTGTGTTTAGAAGTATTCCCTCTTTGTGAAATATGTTAGGATTTTCATACACGTAGCTAAGGTTGTTAGATGTCTAGGTTCAAAATTTATTGCATCCATACCTTTCTCATGTCATGGATGTGCACACAAGTGGGTGGGCATAAAACTCGTAAAGTTTCTATTTCTTTTTCCCGTCTCCTCCAGCAGGTTGCTGAATACCTGAAACTTCCTGTGCCAACTTACTATTTGGTGGATGTGAGAAAGAATACAGTGAAGGTTGTCATGGAAACTGATCCAGGCTTGGGTCCTTCTGTGTATGAGGGTGGTCCAGCTGCAACAGTTACGGAATCTCGTGAAAAGGCTGCTGAGAACGCTGTTCGTTCTCTTCGAATGGAATTCAGTATTCAAGCTGAAGAGTTCACTTCTAAGAAAATCAAAAGACTTGAGCGCTCTGAGTTTCTGTATCAGATGAAGCATATTAAGCTAGAAGAAATGGAAAGAGGAGCAAGGCAAGTCCCAGTTAAGTGGCCAACTGTGCCTGATCACAAGCGTCGCAAGAAATATGTTTGCATTGATTACATGGATGTTTTGCACACTCTATCTTCGGAGACCAAAGTGCGTATTTCAGAAGTTGATACCTTTAATGTTGGCCCTGGAAAATTTGTATCATGGGTGACAATTTACAAATCTTTAATTGCTACTGGAGTGGAGTGCTTATTAAGTATTGTGCGTGCTGACTCTAAAGCAACTAAACAAGATGCAGTTAGGAAGGATGTTGATTTCCTACGCACTGCATACAATCTTGACATAGTTGATCTGAACTATGGGAATGGGAATTATGTTGGCATAAAGTGTTCTTTGGCTAGAGAGAGCTACTTAGCTGCTGAGGAGCGTGTGCTCGGGATTCAGGGTGCTTTTCACTTAGCTCCTTTTTTAGTTGAGGAAGGCTGTGTTACGCCTAAGTCTGTTGTCCATAGGATCCCAACACCTACTCTTCCTTCACCTCCACCTCACAAGCCAAGAGCTAGGCTATCTTTCAGTGCTCGCTATAGTGGTCAGCCCTCAGCAGTCTCAGGTGAGCTGGACAGCTTTTTCAAATATAGGAAGTTTGAATTGTGTGCATGCGCATTTCACATAGAGCCCTAGCTTTGCAGTTTTAAGTGTTTTGTTTGCTTTGTTTGTTTGAGGTTTTAGAGTTATGGTGTATCGCCACTTATCTGTACTTATGTTCTAAGTTAGCTAAAACTACACTATGTGAACATGTAATTAGCAAGAAGTGATGTACTGCTTTTCCGAACTATGATGTATTCCATCTTTTGGTACTTGATTAATGAAATACACTTCTCTTCCCGTGTTTTACATTAGCAGAATGTTTGTTTTTGGGATAACCACAATGTTTTAATTTAATGTTTCTTTGCCAGTAGATTTTATGCATACCTAAACTGCTTTACGCAGCTACTGGTTTTAGTCCAAATAAATGGATACTTTGATCAATGTGTTTTTTTTCCCAATCATAGGTGTAATTAGGTTCATCGCTGCCATTAGATTCATCTTACCTGCCAACTAAACAACAGATCTCATTTGTTGGGGTTCACTGAATTTATATTGCTACCATGAGTAAATTCGCTATCTATTTCTACTACTAATTGTTAGTTACATACTTACAACAACTTAGCAATTAAGCAACACCACAAAGAACAAAGTTTTTTTTTTTTAAAGTAGAAAGTCTTTACATTGTATTTCAGATCGCTTCTTAACTGCTAAGAAAGATCCTCCAAAAACTAGAACGAGCAAGCGTTTACAAGGTTTACAAGCTTTTTCTCAGACACTTGTTTCAATAAGGTGCTTATTTGTTGTTGTGATCACAGATGCACATTGCTTATTTATTCAATTATTTTGTTGATGCTGTTTTTCATTTGGCTATTCATTTTTATCACACAGAGAGCCTCATGACACAGATTTGGCTAGAAATTCACAACAAGATCCTGTAAACATTCGGCCAGGACTTATCAGTAAAGGGAATGCTGACAATCAAGTGCTTAGCGAGTCAGTTGGAAAAAATAATAGTAAGCATGATTTATGTATCTTGTATAAACAATATGACTAGAAAAACTATAGCAATATAAGCTAATACTTTTATTGCACTCTAAATTTTCAATCCTGCCTATTGTTTGTTGTCTTGAATTCTGCATATTTTTAGTGCTAAATTTAAGAAGCATGGTATTTTGGTTATAGTAACACATATCTTGCCTATTTATGCAATTGAAGTTAACAATAT